TGCACGCGCCGACTGCAGGTAAAGTAGCACAGCGTCGCGTGCTTCTTCTCGCGTTAAAAGTTTGTCACATTTATTTATTCCAGCCGTGTTTTATAATTAGGTTGAAACACTGTTAGTCACACTTTCCCCCACAGTGCCTGTTCCGGGGTCCAGGTAGTTTATCTCACCTGTAGGCCACCTCTCATTCATTATGGCCACGCGCGTTCGACCGGTGAGTTAAACCACTTTTTATGACGCAAATTTGCTTTGACTTTTCATGATGCTAGTGTTTTTTTTTTTTTTAAAGCTTGAAATGTATCAATATTCGCTTTCTGTGTGCCGTACAGAGTAATAAGCGGTGTGCAGTCATCGGGGGGTCTGGGTTCTTGGGCAGACACCTGGTGGAGAAGCTGCTGGATCGAGGCTACTCTGTCTCTGTGTTCGACATCCGTCAGAGCTACGAGCTGCCTGGTGTCACCTTCCACCAGGGAGACCTCTGCGACAAACAGGTGACACTCACTCAGACTTCACATCCCAAAAATGGGGGACCTGAGACCTGACCTGACACAAAACCAAAAGCAGTCAAGTGTTGACAGTTCTGGAACAAATATAAAGTAAACAAGGCAGTGACATGTAGGAAAATGTTCAACTACGGTGCCGTTTTTAAGGATTCAGAGGCTTGCAGTTGCAGTTTGCTAGTTAATTTATGATGTGTCCCCAGAGACCTTTAAAAAATATATTTCTGGCCTCGTCCAGTCACTCCGTCTGATGCAGTTGTCAATAGTTGTGAGGTTCCTGTCACATTCTGTCACATTCTGTCACATTCTGCCCCAGGCTCTGCTGCCAGCTCTGAAGGACGTGTCCCTGGTCTTCCACTGCGCCTCCCCGGCCCCCGCCAGCGATAACCGTAGGCTGTTTGAGAGGGTCAACATCCAGGGCACACGCACCGTTATTCAGGCCTGCATCGAGGTTGGAGTACAGGTGAGGCAGTGGGGGGGAGACACAGCCAGGGGGTTCTGGGCTTTTTTGTTGTTGTCTAGGATTTACTGTTAAAGGATGAAAGATGTCATTGAAGTGGTTTAACTGTTTGATTTTTGCCAGAAACTGGTCCTGACAAGCAGTGCCAGTGTGGTGTTTGAAGGGACGGACATTAAAAATGGGAGAGAGGATCTACCTTACGCCAAGAAGCCCATTGACTATTACACAGAGACCAAGATTGAGCAAGAAAAGGTAGAGTGGTTGTTTCAATTTGAGTTGACTGGTTTCACCAGTGTCGCCCAGCGGTTGGCACTGTTGCCTCAAAACATTTGGTTCATTTCTTTGTGGAATTTGCATTTTTTTCCTCCACTTTGGCACGTGTTCTCTTCCTCAAATCAAAGTCAGTGATTATGTCATGGTGTAATAATGTTCTCCTTCCTAATGGTGAGATCAGATCCCATTGTTTTATACAATTAGCACAACAACCCCATACAACAGCATAAAATCATCTTCAGCAGTGGTGGGAGCATCCTTCCCCTTCCTCGTCACACCAATGAGAGAGAGGGGAGCAAATGATAAGAGCGCTCTTTTGCAGCATGCCGAGTGTTGAATATTTTCTACTGCTTTTTGTGTTTTAGTTGGTCCTCGAGGCTTGTGACAAGGAGAAGGGCTTCCTCACAGTTGCCATCCGGCCTCATGGAATCTTTGGCCCTCGGGACCCGCAGCTGGTTCCTATCCTTGTGGACACAGCTCGCAGGGGCAAAATGAAGTTCATCATTGGGTGAGTCGTGGGGTTTAATGATGCCAATACCAATCCAGTTAGTTGTATATGCTTATATAAATAGATGCCTCTTGTTTCAGAAATATTCACTGTAAAATATAAAAAAAATGCAAATATGTATGACTTAATAATAGAAATACCAACAGCAGACTGTCAGTACTCCCCAGACTCTAATGGCCAAAAATGTGTTTGTTAATATAAATACACAGCTCTATTAAACGTCTGCAGTGTGTGAAGTTATAAAATTGACGAAGTGGCCTCTGAAGGCAATGCTAGCACACAAGCAGCAGAAGCTAGTCCTGTTAACCTTTCAGCATCACTGGTGCTTGTTTGACACACATGTTAAATCCTCATATGTGCATGTATTTATGCTCTTTCAGTGTTGTTGAAAGTTGAGTTCTGAAATGTTGTTACATACTTCTACTCCTACCTTTCCACTCTTAAACCACACTCACTCACTCGCTGGCCTCCCCACTACTCCCCTTCCTCTTGAAAACTTTCCTTTGTAGTGAGGTAGTGCCTCTGCCCACAGACTGTTGTTCTTCTTGTTTTTTTCTTTTTCTTTTAGATCCTTGGTGCTGGTTTGTATATTTCTTTATTCAATTCTCTGTCTTTGTTTTCTTCAGCGATGGGACCAATCTGGTGGATTTCACCTTTGTGGAGAATGTAGTTCATGGCCATATCCTGGCTGCTGAACGCCTGAGGTCAGACTCCCCCACATGTGGAAAAGTGAGTGAGAATAAAATCGAACGCAGAGCTGACCTCACGCTATTGCCGTTTTAAAGTATTCTGGGCATGAATTTATATCGCTAGTTACGCACCTTATCCTTTAAGGGTCAGAATTTTTATTTGTACATGCTTTACAAACAGAATTTAAAGTAGCTATAGCAGACCTTTTGGCTGACCCTGCCAGACTGGGAGTTTCCAGTGAATAACATTGCCAGACCGGGAGCGAATGCAGCATCTGATGCCCGTTCTGTTGCACGTTAATGGCAGCTAAAGCAGCTGTGAGCGTTGAGTTGAGGCAGAGCAGCCGGAGGATGTCAGATGGAAAACCAGACAGTATTTTCTAAATTAAATATGATCCAATTTCACTCAAATAAGTGATAAAGTTGTATTTTTATACAGTAAAGTGAGGCCCAGACCCCAGAAACACTCCACTTTGGCAAAGAGTCGTGCTGTTGCTAACTCATGAATCTTCGGTCCGGATTGATTGATGGGTGGATGTCATGATATTATTGGTTGAAATTGGTTGGTTCATGCTTACATAATTGTTAAATTGGGGTACTATATGACTTGGGGTGTAATGTTAAAGGGATATTCTGCAATGTTTTACTTAATCTCTGAAATCTTTGTATCATCTGCTTCTTTTTCAGGCATACCACATCACCAATGACGAGCCAATTAGATTCTGGGACTTCATGTCTGAAGTGTTGGTGGGTCTGGGATATGCTGCTCCCCGCTACCACCTCCCCTACACTCTCGTTTACGGACTGGCCCTGCTCCTCTGGCTGCTGGCCCTGATCCTGCGCCCTCTAGTGTCCTTTAAACCAACCTTTACACCAATGAGAGTGGCCCTGGCTGGCACCCACCACTACTATTGCTGTGACCGTGCCAAGCAGGACCTGGGCTACAAACCAATAGTCAGTCTGAAGGAGGGGGTAGCACGCACAGTGCAGAGCTACCCTCATCTCAGACAAGGTGCTTGATGGCAGAATGGAGGTGGAGACTGTTGAGACATGCAAGCCTGTGGCTGTTAGTACAGTTACACTCATGCTGAGAAGGAGGTGGAGGAGGGGAGAATCAACTCACACTGAATGGACAATTCAAAATGAGGGAACAGTTTATCTTTATTCAAACATCAGAATGTGTAGCATTTGTGTGCCTTTTCAACGTTTATGTACCATTTCCACCAGCAGGTGGCAGCAGATGGTCCTGGTTTCAGTCAACACACTGCAGTCTGATATTCTAAAAGTTTTAAAGCACTTAGTAAATGTTAAAAGCACTGTTTATGACAACTTACATATACTGACACTTATACTGTGAAAACTGCAAAGATGTACACACTTTGAGATGCTGCTGTTTATGTCAAAATGCCTTAATACATTCTTCTAAACGACAAGTCTCCTGATACAACTTGAATGAAAATTATTGTTAAA